TTACATAATCTAAAAAAAAATTAAATTGACATTCATTTATAAAACGAATAAAGGGAAAAAGTATTTATACACGGCCATTCAAATGTTCCATGAGACATTTTTACCAAATAGATCGTATCAAATCTCAAATGTCGATATTGCAACAAGCACGCCTTTCTCCGGGTCAACTTTCAATTGTCAAATGTTTTTATTTTGTTTTATACACGCCAAAGAATTCGAGCCATCGCGTCGAGCTGAAAATTCCGTCCCGGGTTTTGCGCTGGTCGTTGTTCCGACTGGCTGTTGGCCGGACTCGACGGGCTGCGGCGCAATTAAATTAAATGCTTCGGATTAATTGTTCGAAAGCAGTTAAATTAGTTGCGTTTGTTTCGCCCGATTTTTGCGCAATCTCGCTGCGGAATGCGTGAGATGCACGCATCGGGGGAATTTCGTTACCCGCGGCCCCTCGCGCGTTATATAGCTCGGTGCCCTGCGAAATCACCGCGATGCAAACGTATCAACGCGGAACGATGGCGTGCCCCGAAAAATTCATTTGCAAAAGCCGCATTCGACGCGCCTCCGTCACACACTAAGCGAGAGGGAATACTGCGCGACGCACAACGCGCGCATTTTGTCAGTACTTGATTAAAAGCTTAAACAGAGTCGACCCAATTATTAATGTAATGCACAGCGGGCAATGCAAATTTCACAATTATAACAACGAATTTGATGTATAACATTGAATTTTAAAGCGTCGTTGACCAGATTTTAGACCGCTAAATGCAAAATTTATATAAAATCAACATTTCTATATATATATATATATATAATATAAATATAAATCTACTTCTCTCTAATTTCATATTTATTTTAAATACAACTTGATATATAAAATGTATTCTCACACATATTTTATCTCATATTAAATATTACTGAGAGATAAAGAAGAGGAGAATATTGAATGAAAAAAAGAAAAAGAAAAAAAACTTGAGTATAAATAAGACACTCTCGCGTTATTGTTTCTATCTACGATGGCTCGCAATTTTCCTCCGATATCGTGGCGAAGATCCTCCTATTACCACGCATACCGGCAGCCACTGAAGACCACCCCAATGCCCCGTCTCGATGATATTCGACCGGCCAATCCCCGTCGAGGATCGCGCCCGGTATAGCCGCTAAGCTAGCCGAGAGCTGCATCCTAGAGTGCAGCTGCAGCGCCGGCGCGGACTCTTGAGCCGCATTGCTCGGATTCTGGCGAGGATGCGTCTAGGAGCGAGAGGCTGACGAGCTCGCAAGTAACGCGCCGGTAGAGACATGGTCAGACTGGCATCCGGCCGCAAGCTCTCGACCTCATCGCAACCATACGCTCGGGCCCTCCCCGAGCTGGTTCTCCTCACCCACGGCTTTCGAGCTAGTCCGCCCACCCATCATAGACAGTCCTCCCCTCGTTCCTGCGAATGGGAACGTGCAACATGTCGAGACATTCGGGACACGACGGATTGAGGAGAGATATGCATCATTTGGTTACCCGACTGGCCGACTAGCGCGTCTCCGATCGGCGTGCCTACGGATGCATCCTCGATCGGATTGGCTCGGGCGATCGGTATGCGAAAGGGTCCTCCAGTCAAGATTTTCAGCATAATTGCGCCCCGAGCATACCGCCCGGATTCGGATCCACGAATCTGCGTTCCGATATGTCCGCTCGTCCGCGTGCCCGTATGCACTCGTGTGCTTCGTTATCGGAGAACGTTACGTCGCCTGGTAACCGTAATAGCGGAAGAGTAATAGGGGCGCTAATACGAAATACCGTATTGGCGCACTCGTACCGAATATCGCATTCTCCGCTTTTGAGACATTATCGTATATCTAGATATTATATAGAATTATATTTGCGAAAATATCATTATTTTCTAACGAAAAAAATAGCATTAATAGCTTACAATCTCAATTACAGTCCTAATGTTTGTTAAAGGAAAGATAATTGTTGGTGACCAAGAAATTTGTGAATAAACAATTTAGATTTGGGACATCCTTCATCGTCTGTACTTGTCGCACATCCTTTCAAAATCTTTGAAATAACACGAGATGTGAAAATTAACTCGCGCAGCATTAAATGAATCTTATGATCTGAATCACACATTTATGTGTGTGTGTGTGTGTGTGTGTGTGTGTGTGTGATCTGAATCACATATTTATGATCTGAATCACATAACTTAACTTTTATTTATTAAATTTTTATGTAACTTCAATAGGATGTTTACGACATCTAATGTTTATAATAAAGAGTAATCGCTTTTTATGTCAACTATTTTTACAGAAATCTAATACTGATTTAATGGGCATTAATATCAATTTAATAGGTGCTGAAAGACAGTAATTATAATATTATTTATTTTAGTATTAAAAACTATCCACTGCTTTTAGTACTTCAAATAAGTAATTAATCAGTATTAACCCTTCTAGATACATCTTTTTCTCAAATTTTCTCAAAATTTCTTGGCACATTTCTCAGTGTTTATTAAATAAAGGTTTTAACATTTGAGTTAAGGAACTATTTGGCAATGTAGAACTATTTGCCAGAGATGTTAAAAAGTAATCCTGAATTTTTCTAAATTTTTTTAAAAGCCCAAAACACTTAGTAAAGAAATTTGGGCTGGACAAAAAAGATCCAGAGTACCTACGAAGTAAATAATATGTATGCTTATGAACGGTTAAGTTGACCAGTATTCGCTTTCTGTAAAGATATAATCTTTAAAATTCATTTCGACGAAGCATTCTTTCATCCAACGATCCTCAGTTTTATGTCTTACTGATTTTTCGAAAGGGTAACTATTATATCTTTTCTTTCTTTTGTAAGAGCTCTAACACTGATACACGATACATCGGTCGTTCGTCCGGTAGCGCGCATTCCCGACACCGAAATTGCATACCTCCGTGTACGTGCACATACAGGCTGGAAACAAACGAATAGGGTTGTTCGGGCGCCGTAAAGGGTCCGGTGGGACGAGGCGCGCGCGAGGAGACGGGCGAGGGCGGGCGGGGCTGGAGATTCGCGCGGGGGTTGTAGGGAGCAAAACGGTGGTGGATGGTGGTGCCGGTGACTCGGTTGCGCGAGAGAGCGAGGGGTTTGGGAAACGTAATCGCTCTGGCCCCGCGCGCCTCAGCGAACTGCCCCCCTACATGCGTTTTGTCTCTCTCTTTCACCCTTCCCACGCCTCTGCTATTTATTGCTCGCACTCGGCCGGTTCACAACATAAATATGTTACACCTATGGCCGCACCTATTGCACTGAGTCCGCGAATTCCTCCGCTGCGGACCGAACGAAGAAAGAACATCGTCGAATGAGTGGATTGGTACTTTTAGGGATAAATTGGCTCGTTCACTACCATGCCACATATCGTGTTTGTATACTGTGAAACGAGATAATGAATTTCACAATTTCGTGATTAATAGAACATTATTTAGTATATATAATTTTGTAAAGAATTATTTTAAACAACCTACAAAATGTATAAAATTTTCTTAATGTGTAGAATGTTATGTGAGTAGGTTTTTTTAAATTTATGAACTGAACATTTCTAGACAAATATTAATACTTGGAGTAGGCGATAAAAAAAAATTTTCTTTGATATTTTCGTCAGAAAAGGCGCGACTCTAATTTTATATGTATATATTTTTTAAATTTTTACCTCAACTTTAAAATAATTTTGAAAATACTTTTTTATCCTTTGTGGACATTGCAACATTAAATTGGCAAAATTATAAAACAAAAATAAATTGTCTTGTTGATGTGTAGTCAAATCATCAAATATCGTTGATTAAACAAAACAGCAATTTTAATTATATAAAACAAAATCTGCTTCATTCTTTTTCTTGAATAAATAAAACTTTTTAAGACTTGAATAAATAAAAAGTTTTTATTAATTAAATATAATGTCGTAAGCATGTAGATTGGTTATAAACTATTGTATTATAAACTGTAACCTGATTAGTACAAAGTCCCAAATAAAAAAAACTTGGGATTATTTCAAGTACAGGAGGAAAAATCCAGATATTATCTATTCGTTAGTTCGTTTTATTATTCGGAATATATTTTCGCCTTGTTTTACGCAGAAAATTCCCTCAACTTTTTTTAAATACTTTTGTTACACCCTCAAGAAGTGCTTCTCTCAGGGTGTATGAACAGAGGGTGCCTGTTTGAAGGGTGGAAGCATCGAGGGTTAAGTTTCAAAGATAAAAGAAGGACCAACTGTTGAATATCGGCTCTCTTCCAGCCGACACCGATGCCTATTATATGTCAAACTTTCTTACATGTACCATATTATATCTTAAAGTCTCATTTACATATTATATTTTTATATAAATGCTATATAAAGAATTAATTTTTATTAAAACTGTAGGATTGTCTAAAATTCGATTAATTTAGATACACATTTTGTGTGTGTGTGTGTGTGTGTGTGTGTGTGTGTGTGTGTATAACGCTATTTACATTATAAACGAACTAAATAATAATTTTTGAAACAAATTCTATTCAATTTCTTATAATTTTTTCTCTATTTAGCAAAATAAACAACATGGTAAATTATAATATAAGAAATTATAGGAAAATTAATATCTTTAAAAATTTCCGCATAATTATAATATTTCTTTATAAATTAAAGTTTTACAGATATTTAAAGGAATACAGACGTATAATGTACTAAAAACTAGTCAAAGAGTTAATTAAATATTCCTTAAATTTTAATTATTTGATTTATCACGATATTTCTACTGTCGTTCAAAAAAAATTAAATTTTCACGCAAATGTCATGTATATGCATTTACTCTCATAAATGTTTTATTTTTAATATGTTTAATTGAATGTTATTTGTCATTGACTGCTATCAGAAATTATATTCAATACGCATTTTTTATTATAATACATACAATAAAATGCGAATTAAAAGATGTAAAAATGTTTTTCTTTAACTTTCTACGTATGCAAGCAATAATCTTTGATGGCAAATAAATAATTTTCTTACCTTGTCCGTAATTTGTTGAAATCTTCGTCTTTGCCAACAGCTCTTGACTTACAGTGAAGACGAAAAACGTCGGGTAAGTTTCTCAAAGCAGGTTTCTCGAAGCACAGTTAAATCTTTCACGTCACAATAGTACAATATGACAATGACTCAATCGATCATTTATATGAAATGCGTTAAAAGATATAAAGAGGGATCGCGCGCGCGTGAAGAAAAATGAGAAAAAGAGAAAGATAGAAGAGAAGAAGAATGAAAGCGCAAGGGAGTGATAGAGTGATCGAAAGAACGCGTTACAGAAAGAAGCTGTTCAAGGAGCTCGCACAAAAAGGAGAAACGGGGATTCTCCACGGTGAAGGAAGACACAATTCTCCGCTATCCTTAGCCGTCGCTCCGATCCCTCGTAAGCTCTCTCGCAAGCTCTCTCGCAAGCACCCGTTCTCGCGCGCGCACCGGGCTCTCGCAGCTCCGCGAATGCACGTGCAACTCGGACGCGTGCCACGTGGTGTTTGGTCGGAGTGGCTCAGCCACGAAAGCCGGAGCCGGAGCGGCGAGCTTGCAAGCTACTGGGCGCTTTTCATTGGCCGATGGGTGGAAACTGCGCATGATTGCGGGTGTGGCCCGAGCTTGAGGGGCGGAATAAGCTCAGGTCGGTGATAGGACACCTCGAAAGGGGGCACGTCTCCATGGGTGGGCCCCGGGTGCCCCAGTCGCCACCTCGCCACCCCCTCGTGGCTGCGGAGCTTTTTCCTTAATCTCGTAACGAGCGCGAGAACTGCTCTCCCGTCCGAGCCTCGAACTTGCGAATTGGCTTCTTCCGCGCGAACGAACGTGCTCTTTCGAGGCGATGGAATGGCGGCACTCGAGTGTTTGTTACTGCAGAGGAAATCATGCGGTGAACCCGAAAATCTTAAGTAATAACGACAGTGTCAAATCAGATACTGTGGCGTAGCTGTGAGACGCTTCGGCCAAGGCATTTCTCGAGTGAAAAATTTTATAAAAAGGCCTTTTATATACAAGCTGTACATTGAAAAATGAAAGTTCTAATTGCGCAATCTATTATGTAATAATATTTTTTTATTTTCAAATTATTTATGGATTTACTATACTAGGAAAATTAACCAATAGACCTTTATAATTTTTATAATTTTTAATCGCATAAATTTTGAGATAATTAGTTTAGCTATTTTGATTCTGTAATCAGCAAAAAAACAAAGGTAAAGAATCAAAATTTTTAATAGAAATAAAATGTGGTTTATGAAATTTATGAAAAAGTGTTTAATTGGAAATTTTTATTTAAAGCCTCTATTTATTCATACACATATAAACACACACAAACACACACACACACACACACACACACACACACACACACACATATGTATGTATATACAATATTGTCTAAAATACAGGAAATGTTGTTTTATGTACTGTTGGAAAATAACTATATTAGTCTAAGAAAAAAAATGCAAATATTGATTGTAATGGTAATACAAAATAGTTTTCTTTTTTAGCAACAGGTGGAAAGCTTTTAATGCGTGTTCTACCAAAAAACAGATATAGGTACACGCACGCACACATATATATACACACACATACAAAACACATACACATATATTGAAAAAGAAGACGAAGGATTTTACAAGAACGAGGAGAGACAGTGCGAACGGCCGATTTATTGCGAAATTCTCTGGTGCATTCAAACAAGTTCAGACATCTACTGCGGTACTCATTCGGTCGGACAATTGCAGTCGGTTCATGTACATCTGACTAGGCCGCGAATCCGCGATAAAGCGAAAGTCTAATCACAGCTAGTCTGATAATTAGATCAGACCAACTAAACAGCTTAGTGAATCAGTTGGGAATTTGATTTGGAGGACAAGGGTGCAGATCTCCATCGCGTATTTACACGGTATGTCTACCAATCGGCATAATCGCCAATTTTATCTGTTCACTTTCAGTGAGGTGGTATTTGCGTTGAAACTGTCTAACGCGATGTATTATCGATTATGGCTCGAGTTTTCGAGGCCGACATTCCGTCAATTCAAAGATGTTTTCATCATGAATTTCAATTGTTCGATGACTCGTGCTAAAAACCTATTAGTATAGAATTGATCAACTAATAATGACTAATTAATTCTTGATAACAGCACAACTCAACCCAACAATTATACGACAATAATATAATAATTTATTACATACATTTGCGTTCATCGAATATTTAAGGATATCTTCAAATATTGTATAAATATGCCAGAAATCATATATATATATATATATATCTCATGCGAGTGTGTGAATGAATAGTTGCTTTTAATAAATAAATCTAAAAATATTTCTTATTACATAATTATTATTAATTAACGAAATACAATACTAATAACTTTGAATTTAAATTTATCACGTTGTTAATTAGCTCATGACGAAAAATTTTGCACCTTTTTTATCACAATAAAACTTTGTTTCCAATTCTGAATGCGAATGACGTTTAAACGTGTATCAAGGTAACTAGTCTACGATTAAAACAAAACTAAATTTTAATTAATTTTATTATTAAATTACATTTCATTTTAAGTAAATAATAATCTTCCGTCTAAAACGTCACATTCGTCAACGAATCGAACGACGTCTTGTGCAAAATTGAGGTGCCAGGAAGCTCTCATTTCGGTATGCCATCCACTAGACGCCCGTACGTGAATGTTTAACGGTCCGTCGTCTCGGCGGCCGCCCAATTATATGACGTCAATTATTGATTAATTGCAATTATAACGCGAACGGTTTCGAGAGGGCCCGATACGGATATAACGATCGCCATTTCATAAATTCGCAATGACGTGAGAGAGCGGGCGAGCGCGGGCTCCGCTCCGCGCCGGCCTCTGAGTGACGTGTCATTTATCGCATAACGCGAACGTTTATGCGCATTCGTGTCGCATAATTGCAATTAGAGCGGAATTCATTTACATCGACCGACATTCGATTTGTTCCGAGAGAAAGCCCGGGATTTATACGCACCCTCGGCGGCGTGGCGCAGTGGACGCGCGCGCGGACGTTCGTGTTAGTCGTGTCGGGATTTATTTCCGCGCGCGTCAATGCCGCCGCGACAGTTCCGCGATGTAAATAGGATTGGATTAGCCGTTACCGACCACTCTCGCGAACGAGAGGGAGAGAAAGAGAGAAAAGATGAGAGGGAAGTACTCCTCGTTATGCGATAACGATGGAAGATAAACTATTGGAAGCCGCAATGAGAAATACGTTTGATGAAAGATATGTGGTTCAATATCGCGCGATGTCTCGTAAAAACGTAAGACAAAGCATTAGTTAAAAAAAGAATTATATTTCAATTTAATTTCCAATTTTATTTTTTGCACATTATTTTTTATGCTGAACTGCATTTTATTTTCAATGTTATAAATTTATATATTTTTTTCAGAAATAGATGTTGAAAAAGTTTAATTATTACACGTACATAAGTTTATAAAAGTATATACACAATTATGAAGCAAGTCTATATGTATTTTTTACTTCAAAAGTGACACAACTTTCATATAAAATATGAATTTTTAATTATTTTATGATGAGTAACGTTAGTCTATTAATTATCAAATGAAAAAACTAACTTATTCTCTCTAATTGTAAGACTTTTAGAGTTAACTTTCTTACTTCAAAAGTGACACACTCAAAAAGGTTTTCTAAGAGTTGTGAAACGAAAAATTACAAAAATGATTTTTTATCGTATTAAGAATATATTCTTTTTATCGACATTATTTGATTTAAATCAATAATAATTTTCTGAGTTATGTCACTTTTGAAGTAAGGGAGTGATACGTTAAATATAATTTTTCAAAATACGAATATTCTATGATGTAATGTCCTTCATAGCTTTTTAAGTTAATTTCGGAATCCTTTAAAAGAATATCGAAGCTAATTATTATCTCCTTTTTCAATTTTATACATATATATCATTACTAAATATTTTTATACTAAATTTATATTAAATATTAAAGGAAAAAAGTTTTGGAATTGATGGAAAAATGTGATTTTGTCAATTACGTACTCGGTCTCTTCAAGTTGAATTTAAAAGAAGTTTCACATTTTCGATAGTTACATTCAAGAGCTGTTAACATATCGATGTTTCTGTAGGCGAAAGATGAATTCCAAAGTGTGACTGAGAAATCTGTAACAAAAAAGAGATACAACACGCACTCTATACATCCCACGAAAGATGATTGATGACGAGTACAAAACGGGAATTCGAGTTTACAGCGCGAAATAAAGTACTGCGTGCCGCGTTTTCAAATTGTTTCAGTCTCCGGTTGCGAGACTATAACCCGACGGTCGGCACGGCGTTGCAATGCGAAATTTTATACCGATTTTTCCAAAGCCGCACCATTCTACCGACGAGGTGGGATTAAAAGATAATACCGGCGATCCAATTTAATCGCACGATTGACGGGTAAACAGACACCGCGCGGCGCTGTCCTCCGTCCGTTCTCTACCCTCTTTTAGGACAAATCGTCCGTAGCGCGATGCCCTCGGACCCGGTAGAAAATATAATTCAGAGATATTTATAGCTGGATTACCGCTGGAATTGGGTATCTAATATACATGACCGAACCACCGAGTAGCATGAGTTTTAATTGTCCCACTGAAAAGTCGATCTTCCTAGAATATCGATCCGCAACAATCATCGAACGTGTACGAATTTCATGAACAGTGTGTTACAAGTGACGCGATTAACAAGCCTGCATATGAGTGTCAGATACGATTTTACGTCGCGAACTCACAGTCACTGCGGAGAACATGCTGGACAAGAATTTCTCGGCGACTTTGGGAAAGGATTAGCCACAATTGATAGCCACCGAGAATGGAGGGACGTTCCCGAATTTGTTCGCCGCTCAAAGAGCGACCGTCGGTGAATTCGCACAGTTACATTCTTACTCGGATTTTAATTAATATTTCAACTTTTCAAGTATATTACAAATTTTGTAAGCGATAATTATTTAACTGTTTGTGACTCAATTGCGATCCTATAAAAGTAAAAGGTTATAAATACAGCCTTGACCAAAAATATTAGGCACCTTATTAATCATTATACTATTCAACATCTAAATTCTCTCTAAAAAAATGCCATAGTACATATACCAAAGATTTTTTTGCGCTGAACATTTCGTTGGCAGAATTTGCGTAGTACAAGATTCTGAGTAAATTAAAATGGATAAAAAATGACGTTTTTCGGCTATTTTTGACATTTTTTTTATGGCAAAAGAAAAACTTGTTTCTAATTAAAGTCGATGCACTAAGAAAAATTTCTCGTTGAAAATGAATGAATTAGTGGATTCTGATTATGTCAATTAGACTTCCGGTTATCATAATCGGACATTTGATTATCTCGACTAGAATTCTGATTGATACGATTAAAATCTATTGGTTCATCTGTTTCAATCAAAAATTTTTCTCAATGCGGTGTCTAAAAATACAATTCAAGAGCTTT